TTTAAATGCAACATTTTACATAAGCAGTATTGTTTGCAACACAGAGAACACTGATTCAGTGATTTAAAACACAACCAATACTCACACACCTGTCACTAACTGGCTGATCCCAAGCAATCACACATGAGCCATAAGACCCCCAAAATGGTGAGTAGCTGCAGGGGCATGTGGCTCTTGGGGAGACCCAGCACTGTAGGGGCGGCCTGATAATCATTCCTGTCCCCACACTTTCCAGACGATGTGATCATTATGGAAGATATCTCGCTGCTGAGTGTGAGCAGGAATCAAGGGAGGGTCTTCTCCAAGCCTGCAGCTTCTGCCCTGGCCCCATGTGGCTCACCTGAGTGCAGCAATGATGGCACAGTGGCATGGGAAACAGGTTGCAGAGTAACAGCCGTGTTAGTCTGTATTCGCAAAAAGAAAAGGAGTACTTGTGGCACCTTAGAGACTAACCAATTTATTTGAGCATGAGCTTTCGTGAGCTACAGCTCACTTCCGCTCAAATAAATTGGTTAGTCTCTAAGGTGCCACAAGTACTCCTTTTCTTTTGGCATGGGAAAGTTACTGTTAATGGGGAAAGAAACAAAGCAGCTCTGCCAAAGAACCTATGGCAGCGGATTGCCCAGTATCTCGATTAGTGTTTCCTGGAGATCTCTGAGGCAGATTCCTGTGAAGTGTGGGAGTCAATCAACAGCCTGTTCTGCCGCTCAGACTAGGCATGCGGTGGGAGACAAGCCTACTTTCTGCAACCCTCCTACCCTCAACAACTCGCTTCAGTGATTCCAAAAATCAAACCCACTTACCAGGGGCTTCCTCTCCTGTTTGTGCTTCGCCAAGCTCTGACTGCTGTGACTGGCTAGCCTCCTCCAGGGTAGAAAAGAGCTCCCGGATGCATGCATCTCTGACCTCCGAGTCTTTCCCCTGCCCCTCCCCATCCTCGTCCAAGATGTCCTCCTCCTGGCTTGGTCCACTCTTGACTGGCATGCAAGCCACCGAAGTATCCACAGTAGTCTTTGCAGTGGAGGTGGGGTTGCTGCCGAGTATCAGGTCCAGCTCTTTGTAGAACCAGCAGCTCATGGGCGCAGCACCGGAGTGACGGTTTGCCTCCCATGCCTTGTGGTAGGTGTTCTGCAGCTCCTTCACTTTGACCCTGCACTGCGGTGTGTCCCAGTCATAGCGCCTTTCTATCATGCATCGTGACATCTGTCCATAGGTAACATAATTCCTATGGCTGGAGCACAGCTCGGACTGGGCAGCCTCCTCTCCCCAAATGCTGATGGGGTCCAGCAGCTCGGCATTGCTCCAAATGGGGGATCGTTTGGTGCATGGAGCAGACATGGCCACCTGGAAAGATGCGCTGAGACAATTGCATGCATCACCAAGCACACAGGAAGGGGACTTTCAAATTTCCAAAGGAATGTACTGGGTGGGGATGATGGTTGGTCACCCGAGGGCAGAGCAGTAGAGGTTCAAATTGATGACCAGAGAGATGAGAACAGGCATTGTGGGACACCTCCCGGAGGCCAATCACAGTGCTGTAATCGACCACGGTGTCTACACTGGCACCATAGTTTTGTATCCCCGGTGCAGGAAGCTCTATGCCGTCCTTTGGGGTGTGTGTTTGTTTTTTTACAGTGCTGCAACTGTGCAGTTTCTGCGCACTAACAGACTTGGCAGTGTGTACGCTTTGGGAGTTACAGCACAGAAAGCTGCTTTACTGGGCGGAAACTTGCCAGTGTAGTAGACAGGGCCTAATGCTGTGCTGTAGTTAAGAGCTCCACCCGGGAGCTTGCACACCTCCTGTATGAAACTCAAGGGGGCTTTTGCCCCCCACTCCTTAAATGGCACCCTTGTTGTTGACCTCCTCAAAGAATTCTAGTAGATGGGAAATCATGCCTCACCATTTACAAAAAACATGTTGGCTCTTCCCCAACACATCATGTTCATCTCTGTGTCTGATAATTCTGTTTACAATAGTTTCAGTCAATTTGCCCAGAACTGAAGTTAGGCTTACAGACCTGTAAGTGTAAGGATTGCCTTTGGAACCTTTTTTAAAAATTGGTGTCATATTAGCTATCCTCCCGTCATTTGGTACAGAAGCTGATTTAAATGATAAGTTACAACCCACAGTTATGCACAGTAGTTCTGTAATTTCACATTGGAGTTGCTTCAGAACTCTTGGGTGAATACCATCTGGTCCTGGTGACTTTTTACTATTTATGATAATAATAATAAATATGAGGATTGATTGCCCTTGTAGCTTTTATCTGACCTAGCATCACTGCACGTATCCTTTACCATGGTATTTAAGGATCAAGTACCATTTATACTTCATTATTAATCTGGCAGTTATATAATTAAATATAATATCTCAGCTGTGGAGTCAGAATGTAATTATATAAGAAAATGCAAATGAACAGAAGACAGGAGGAACAAACCCAGTCACTAATGTAAACTTTCCAAGACAAAATGGTGACTAGAAGGGAACTTCATATTGTGCCAAATATACTGGGTATGTACTTGAGAAATACCCAGATTTGAGGACCAACTGACAGTTCTGACCTACAGCCAGTAATTTGAGCCAGGGCACCTCAAACAGTATATCTAGATAATATTGTAACAAATCTAGTGGATGCTGTAACAAAAATCATTCTACAACATGTCTCTTGTGGACTCTAATATTGATTTTACTTTCTTTATATGTACACTCAGTTGGTCAGAGAGATTTAATAAATAGCTCACAGGATCCAATAAATTAGCAGCCAAGTTAGTTTCTATGCCTTTTGGCACAAAAGGGAATTCTTTATGTAAAAAAAAAAAAAAAAAAAAAAAAGGGGGGGGGGGCGGGGAACCAAAATCTGTTTGCAACTCACAATGAATTTAATTGTTTGCCAATATTTGACAGTGGAAGAATGACCTCGAAAAAGTTAAATATATAAACATGGATTCCTATTGTTCTGTGTCTCTAAACAAACATTAGGAGGCATTTGTTACACTGAGTATTGTGGTGTTGCTTTAAAGTCATCCTATAGCTCTATTTTTATCAACCAGTTACCAAGAAAAATATTCTGAGGATGAGCCTCAATTTCTTGTTTTGTTTGAAGATAGCAGAGATGGGAGCTACACATGCTTCCAGACGAGGATTTGGTTGCTTCATATTCAGGACTGAATCCTCAGAGTGGATCAGGAAAAAATATTCCAGTTTACTGTTATTAAACATTAAATGTCAAAATCTATCTTGACTAATGCCCTATTTGAGACTATTCAAGTTAATTGGCTTAAATGGGGTGAAAATCAGGACAGAATTTGGCCTTAAAATTTAGGACTTTTCATGTGAAAGAAACACTCACGTGTGTCAGTGTTTGCACCTGTGGCACGGCCGGCTCCCTTCTGTCTCTTCTCAGGGGTTGGAGTGTGCCAATAGCTAACCAGCAGAGAGAGTGCAAGGTCTCTGTAGGCCTCGAGTAGAGTGTGTAGGTTGCCCGTGGCTGGTGGAGTCGAGGATCTGAGCCCTAGCAGGCACAGACAAAGCTTCCTAATGCTAAAGGCAGTTGGTAACTAGGTACCTCATAGCCTTGGTTTTTAAAATACAGTTTCCCCCAGGGAAATTGACAAAACAATAACCCACTTGGTTATCTGTATACATCTTACTCTTGGGAATGGGGGGAGAGTGTTTGGTAACAAGTCGATAAGGGAAAACGTCTCCCCGATGGCAGTTGATAATTTAAACAGTTTGATTTTCTTAATCTGCAAAATGCGATCACACATCATCAAGTGTATGATTTCTGGAGCAGGGCCAACTTAAGCACAAGGCTCACATGGAATTACATGAGCATGTCAGAAAGGGACCTCCATGCACAACCCACCACCTGGTCCAATAAAAGGCTCACCCACCAGGTCTCTCATTTTCTGTCAGTTTTAGTCACCATTTGTAATGGGAATAAAATTACAGCATCAGCCATTCTGTGTGGAACAGAGGTAAATGTGAGAAGTATGTATGAGCCCAGGTACTGCTGGTACAGAGCCTGACAGGGACCATCTTACACCTTTGCCATTCAGGGGCTATTGGGACTGGGATGATTGCAGCACAGACTAGGGCTGCTGCAAACAGTGCCCCTATTCTAATGGTCACTGTGGAGTGCAGGTTTACCTCAGCTATGCCGTCTCATGCACAATCTGCCTCTTCCCCACCCTGGAATTCCTGTGTTCCCTGCAGAAACAACCCAGAGATTTCCTGCAACGTGGCGATGTTCTAAAGCTTTGCTAGCACAAAGTGTTATTCAGCACAATGAGGAATCTGGTCTGAGGTGCTTCTTTGGTCCAAATACCATATAGTGCCTAGATATTATGGTGATGGCTGTTTTATAAATGCAGATAAACTGGGAGAACAGCTTTTCTGTTTCCACTGGGGTTGCTATTTGACTAGATGATAGCAGTGTTGCGGTAGCTGTGCTGGTACCAGGATAGGAGAGACACAAGGCGGGTGAAGTGCATGTGTGTGTGTATATATATATTTCTTTTATTGGATATTGTTATGAAATTGATCCAATAAAAGATTACCTACCTGCCTTGTCTCTCTAGTATAATAGTTATTTATCCTGAAAGGCTGGTACAATTCAACAATGTAACATGATTCTTTGGCTAGTGCATTTAATTTTTAAACCAAAGAATGAGGAAGGAATTAAAATCTATGACTTTTACTGTAACAAACAAATATTTTTCCTTTTGTAAAGTGCCAAACCTAGTTCAAGAACTTCAGGCGCGGTAAGGGGATTTCTAAAGCCCTGACATACAGCTATGTAAGCTTGCATGTTGAAAGCAGCAGCAGGTGTGCTCCCAGGTGGGGGCACTGGAGGGACACTGGAAATCCTACTCACATACCTGTGAGAAGAAAAACCAAAGCAAATGAGGAAGCAAATAAAAATATTCAGGGAGGCCACGTCTCAGGCTGTGAAAACAACAGGCTGGCCAGATTGGTTACTCATTACCAAGAGCTAGAATGTGAAGAGAGGTTCACTGCTGATCACAGAGCAGGCACTCAGATGGGACAAGAAAAAGAATGATCAGAAGCAGTACAACTTGGGAAGAGTCAACACTAAGATTTTCTAATGATTCCTAATTATTTTTACATTTTTTTTTCTTCTGGCAGGACAAAAAGATCAATGATTTTCTGTTGCACCCAGATTTTGGCCCAAAGACTTTCTCTTTTTGTTTTCTTGATCAGATGAGGAAGCAAACAATTCCTTCCCATGCACTATTGCACTTTAATGCTCAGGTATCACTCCTGAGTCTGAAGCTGCCTGCAAGGAGCTCTCGTTGGGGCTCTGGAGAGAAGAGTTTCCAGCTTCAGCAAAATTTATTTAATCTTGTACCAAAGGAGGAAAAATATCTTGCAAAGAACTAAAATGATAATGCAAAAGGATGTATAAAGGTATTGCCACTGGGAAAACAAGAGAGAAATAAGGAGGAGAGAAGAAACCACAAAGAAACAGAGGAGCAGCATGGGGAACTTTTGCCGGAAATACTGCCCTTGGATGCAGCGGTGTGCCCCATGGCTCTTCCAAGAGAGTGATGGAGGACAGGGAGAGAGCTATAAGACAGGGACGGGCCAAGATAACCAGGGCTGGGAGGGAGATGACTACCAGACAGACAATACTTCTCAGATAACAACAAAGAAAGTTGTGAGAGCTGGCACTGGAAGTCCTTTGCCTCCACCATGTGAGCAGAAGCCCAAGAACCACTACAAGTTTGTGGCACTGTTTGATTATCAGGGCCGCACTAAGGAGGACCTGAGCTTCCGAGCCGGGGATAAACTCGAGGTGCTAGATGCATCTCCTGAGGGTTGGTGGTATGCTAGCCTCCTCCTGGACAGTGGATCAACGTGGCCTGGACAGAAGCTCTGTGGCTACATCCCTGCCAACTATGTAGCTCCTGATCAGAGCATCGAGGCTGAACCGTAAGTAACACAGATCTAAGTAACACACATGCTACTCTGAAACACATCTAATGCTCAATCTTTGTTCCCCTTGTTTTAGCACAAGGACCAGATTGCCATATCCTTTGTCACACTGAATAGTACCTTGCTCCACATGTAGTCTCAGTGGTGCAAGGCACTATTTAACATAAGTAAGGAGATCACAGTCTGGCCCCAAATAAATAAAATAAGGCAAAGTATCCAGATGTTTGTTTCAGTCTAAATTACTTCCCTTCCCCACATGCCCTAATCACCTCCTTACAAAGTATGTGGGAGTACTGGGAGGTCACAGATGGTATAGGTAATTATTATGATTATTATTTATATAGCAGTAAAAGTATACTAGGTGCTTACCAAAGAGTAAGATGACAAGGTCTGCCCCCAAAGAACTTGCAGTTTAAATAATTACAAGCTCACTACATTATTTAAAAGGCCAGGATGCTGTAAACATACCCTAAGGTTTTGTTACGAATGATGGATGAATTTCGAAGGTATCTGTGGTTGTTTCTACTTCATCATAGACACAATGCATGGTGCTGTGTAAACAAATCCCTGCCCTGTAGAGCTCAAAATCTGGCTTAAACTATGGTCCCTAAAAGGAAGAATGAGTGGCTGTGGTAGCAAAGTAATACACCTTTGCTGTCTAACATGGTTTAGCTATCTAGATGCTGTACCAGCTTTATACCAGCTGAAGATTCATTCATGTTGGGAGAATACTCAAGTGACCAGTTAGGACAGGTGTAGGGTCCCTGTCTACCCTGGAGACCTTAGTGTCCAGGATTTGGCCCACTGTTGCTATTCACATAGTCAATCAGACAGCGCTTCCTTCATTCATGACAGGATTCAGAGTATCAGCCGTGTTAGTCTGTATTTGCAAAAAGAAAAGGAGGACTTGTGGCACCTTAGAGACTAACCAATTTATTTGAGCATAAGCTTTCATGAGTTACAGCTCACTTCATCGGATGCATTCAGTGGAAAATACAGTGGGGAGATTTATATACACAGACAACATGAAACAATGGGTGTTACCATACACACTGTAAGGAGAGTGATCAGGTAAGGTGAGCTATTACCAGCAGGAGAGCGGAGGGAGGGGGGGGGCCTTTTGTAGTGATAATCAAGGTGGGCCATTTCCAGCAGTTGACAAGAATGTCTGAGGAACAGCGGGGGTGTGTGGGGGGGGAAATAAACATGGGGAAATAGTTTTACTTTGTGTAATGACCCATCCACTCCCAGTCTTTATTCAAGCCTAAGTTAATTGTATCCAGTTTGGAAATTAATTCCAATTCAGCAGTCTCTCATTGGAGTCTGTTTTTGAAGTTTTTTTGTTGAAGAATTGCCACTTTTAGGTCTGTAATCGAGTGACCAGGGAGATTGAAGTGTTCTCCAACTGGTTTTAGAATGTTATAATTCTTGACGTCTGATTTGTGTCCATTTATCCTTTTACGTAGAGACTGTCCAGTCTGACCAATGTACATGGCAGAGGGGCATTGCTGGCACATGATGGCATATATCACATTGCTGGATGTGCAGGTGAAGGAGCCTCTGATAGTGTGGCTGATGTGATTAGGCCCTATGATGGTGTCCCCTGAATAGATATGTGGACACAGTTGGCAACGGGCTTTGTTGCAAGGATAGGTTCCTGGGTTAGTGGTTCTGTTGTGTGGTATGTGGTTGTTGGTATTTGCTTCAGGTTGGGGGGCTGTCTGTAGGCAAGGACTGGCCTATCTCCCAAGATGTCTCACAAATCTTGGGAGACAGGCCAGTCTTGATGTAAATGATGTAAAGAGAGTGGTCACTTTGGATTGGCTATTACCAGCAGGAGAGTGAGTTTGTGTGGGGGGGGGACGGAGGGTGAGAGAACCTGGATTTGTGCTGGAAATGGCCCAACTTGATTATCATACACATTGTAAGGAGAGTGATCACTTTATATAAGCTATTACCAGCAGGAGAGTGGGGTGGGAGGAGGTATTTTTTCATGGTCTCTGTGTATATAGAAAAGGAGTACTTGTGGCACCTTAGAGACTAACCAATTTATTTGAGCATGAGCTTTCGTGAGCCACAGCTCACTTCATCAGATGTGTACCGTGGAAACTGCAGCAGACTTTATATACACACAGAGAATATGAAACAATACCTCCTCCCACCCCACTGTCCTGCTGGTAATAGCTTATCTAAAGTGATCAGCAGGTGGGCCATTTCCAGCACAAATCCAGGTTTTCTCACCCTCCACCCCCCCCCACAAATTCACTCTCCTGCTGGTGCTAGCCCATCCAAAGTGACAACTCTTTACATAATCAAGTCGGGCTATTTCCTGCATAGATCCAGGTTTTCTCACACCATGATTTCAACAATTTCCATCCCACCACCAACCTCAGCCTGGTCCAGTCCACACAAGAGATCCACTTCCTGGACACTACAGTGCTAATAAACAATGGCCACATAAACACCACCCTATACCGGAAACCTACTGACCGCTATTCCTACCTGCATGCCTCCAGCTTTCACCCTGACCACACCACACGATCCATCGTCTACAGCCAAGCTCTGCGATACAACCGCATTTGCTCCAACCCCTCAGACAGAGACAAACACCTACAAGATCTCTGTCAAGCTTTCTTACAACTACAATACCCACCTGCAGAAGTAAAGAAACAGATTGATAGAGCCAGAAGAGTTCCCAGAAGTTACCTACTACAGGACAGGCCTAACAAAGAAAATAACAGAACACCACTAGCGGTCACCTTCAGCCCCCAACTAAAACCCCTCCAACACATTATTAAGGATCTACAACCTATCCTAAAGGATGACCCAACACTCTCACAAGTCTTGGGAGACAGGCCAGTCCTTGCCTACAGACAGCCCCGCAACCTGAAGCAAATACTCACCAACAACCACATACCACACAACAGAACCACTAACCCAGGAACTTATCCTTGCAACAAAGCCCGTTGCCAATTGTGCCCACATATCTATTCAGGGGACACCATCACAGGGCCTAATAACATCAGCCACACTATCAGAGGCTCGTTCACCTGCACATCCACCAATGTGATATATGCCATCATGTGCCAGCAATGCCCCTCTGCCATGTACATTGGTCAAACTGGACAGTCTCTACGTAAAAGAATAAATGGACACAAATCAGATGTCAAGAATTATAACATTCATAAACCAGTCGGAGAACACTTCAATCTCTCTGGTCACGCAATCACAGACATGAAGGTCGCTGTCTTAAAACAAAAAAACTTCAAATCCAGACTCCAGCGAGAAACTGCTGAATTGGAATTCATTTGCAAATTGGATACTATTAATTTAGGCTTAAATAGAGACTGGGAGTGGCTAAGTCATTATGCAAGGTAGCCTGTTTCCTCTTGTTTTTTCCTACCCCCCCCCCCCCAGATATTCTGGTTTTACTTGGATTTAAACTTGGAGAGTGGTCAGTTTAGACCAGCAGGAGAGTGAGTTTGTGTGTGTATGGGGGTGGGGGGGAAGTGAGAAAACCTGGATCTATGCAGGAAATAGCCCGACTTGATTATGTAAAGAGTTGTCACTTTGGATGGGCTAGCACCAGCAGGAGAGTGAATTTGTGGGGGGGGGTGGAGGGTGAGAAAACCTGGATTTGTGCTGGAAATGGCCCACCTGCTGATCACTTTAGATAAGCTATTACCAGCAGGACAGTGGGGTGGGAGGAGGTATTGTTTCATATTCTCTGTGTGTATATAAAGTCTGCTGCAGTTTCCACGGTACACATCTGATGAAGTGAGCTGTGGCTCACGAAAGCTCATGCTCAAATAAATTGGTTAGTCTCTAAGGTGCCACAAGTACTCCTTTTCTTTTTGCGAATACAGACTAACACGGCTGTTCCTCTGAAATCTGTGTATATAATATCTTCTGCAGTTTCCACAGTATGCATCCGATGAAGTGAGCTGTAGCTCACGAAAGCTTATACTCAAATAAATTGGTTAGTCTCTAAGGTGCCACAAGTGCTCCTTTTCTTTTTAAGAACTAGTTTTCTGGCAAGATTTCCAGGACTTCTGTTTCTTGTCACAGCTGGAAATACTGTAAAAACAACTTCAATTGTTATTCAAATGAATCTGTTTATCCAAGGCCCTCTTATCTTTGTAATCTCCCCCAGCATGCATAATTTGCATTGAATAGCCCTTATTTGGAGTAGCAAGATTTTTTTCTTTGACTGGTTTCAGAGTAACAGCCGTGTTAGTCTATATTCGCAAAAAGAAAAGGAGTACTTGTGGCACCTTAGAGACTAACCAATTTATTTGAGCATAAGCTTTCGTGAAATTTATCAAAAGAGAAAGAACATCAGGTTTTGTGATCCCTGTTTTTGCTTGAGGACCCATAGGATAGTGGAGAACTGCAGAGGGAGGTTTTTCAGCTCTCAGCTGAAGTCTTTCCTCCAAAATATTTGCCAAGAATTTGAGTTAAGTAGGTGTTAAAAACAAAAACAAAGAAACTGAAGCACCAAAAAACAGTCTGACTAAAAATTTCTGCTGTCCTCCTTACAGACAAAAACTGGTAGACAAGGATCTGATACTTCTAATGTGAGAACAAGCAGAAAATCCCCCCCAAACCATTTTATACATCATGAAGAAGTAAAGAGAGTGCAAACTTTTTTTCTGATCCTCACTTAAAAATAAAAGGGGGAGAGCTGGGCTTAAAAGGTTAATGAAATGCCTATTAAATAAAAATGTAGTATTAGAAACATATTCTGTTCCCAGGACTTAAAATAGAAATGTTGTGGGTCATTAACTTCCTTCATAGCTTTTTTAATTTGTATTTTAATCTATGACTTGCTTAAGGAGATGTGCGCTGGTGGGTATTTTTTAACTTTTTCTATTATTTCTTCAGAGATTAGTATTTTCAAATCTCAACTTTGTCAACTAGTTTGTATAATTTGATTCAGGCAAGAGGTACATCTAAAGAGGATAACAGAAGCATTTTTTAAGGTGATCTCTGTTTGT